CACGAGGGCGCGCAGCATCGTCGAGATCGGGATCAGGAACGAGAAGACCACCACGAGCCCGATCAGATTGCCCGCGAAGTTGAAGAAGGTGTTGTGCACGTACGCGGGCACGGGGAACGGGACGCCCACGGCGAGCGGTGCGGTTTGGTTGGTGGTGTGCTGGCTGAGGGTGTGCTGGTTGAGCGCACTCTGGAGCGAGAGGAAGCCCGTCGAGTAGTACGGCCAGTACAGCTCAGACAGGCCGTTTGGGAACCGGTCGTACGGGCTCTGCTGCCGCGGCACCGCCGACGCGTTGAAGCGCAGATTGTACGAGAGCACGCCAGTGCCATTTTTGGGCAGTGGCTCTGCAAAGGCGAGCGCTGCCCAGATGGGCTCCTGGCTGCGCGCGGCCGCCTCGATGGCGCCCTCGTCCTTGAAGTAGCGCACCTCGTAGTAGGCGCGCAGTGTGGCTGGCTCGGGGAACACACTCAGATTGAGCTGCGGCTGAGTGAAAGAAAGCAATGCGAGGAGCTGCGCAATCTGGCCACCGATGACGCCCCTCGGGTTGAGCATCCACGGCTCGACCGGCTTGTTGAGGACGTCATCGACCAGGTCGCGCACCGCCGACGTGTTGGGTGTCACCGCGAGGTACGTGCCATCAAAGGGCGGAAAGTCGACCGGGAAGCCTTGCACGTTGGCGAGCTGCTGAGAGATGTACGAGTAGCCCAGGAAGAGCGAGAGCGGCGGGATGGCCGTCGGCGTGAAGGTGGAGGTGGGCATTCCAGGCATGCCCGACGGGACGATGGCCGACCCCGCCTGCTGCGAAAGGAAGGTCAAGAAGCCGGCCGGACCGATCGCACTGAGGGCCGCAGTCATGTTCGCGGGCGCATACTCGGTATTTGGGAATGTGTCGATGGTGGACGCATTGGCACCGATGAGCACAAGCATGCAGAGCAAGGCGGGCAGCACGATCTCGCATGGTGCTCTTCCACTGCTTGCCTTTGAGCAGGAGCTCCTTGCGCCGGAGGAGCACAGCCCATTGTGAGTAGCATGAGGTGGTGACGTCGTCAATCTTGGCAGCGGCCGACAGCTCGCCAGCCAAGAGGCGGCCATCCGGTGATGGGTTGTATTCCATCGTGGCTCGTCACGTGAGTGTCGTTGGCACGGGCGTGCGGGCGAGCGGCAAGCTTCGGTGTTGCAGGAAGAAGCGAGCTTTCTGGTCGGCATCGAGGCTGCATCTCCGTTTTGGGACTTCAAATCGGAAACCCAGAAAGTATTTTGGAAGCCCCCGGCGCGTGTACCGGTACATGTAGTTCGGTCTCCGGTCCGAGCGTCTCGAGCGTCGCGGCGCGCGCCGCGCGCCGTCACGCGCAAAACCCGTGCACGTCGCCACATCGCTCCATCCCTTAGTGGTGCGCTGCGCGCACCCACCTCAGACACTCAAAGCACTTGGCCGATGATGAGACACATACCTGCGCTTGAACAGACTACGGAAGGATCGATAACTTGTATTTCTTCACTTTGACCTGAGGCCGCCCACGCCGCCCCGATCCCTTGCGCTAGCCGCACCACCCAATTCCGACAGCTTTGTTCACCTCGCCCCTCACAGGCTAGCGCTCCATGCGCGCGCCGGCGCTGCTCGCGGCAGCGCTGCTCTCCGTCAAGATCCGGACGCTGCCCTCGCCACGCTGCTCCGCCGCCGACGATGACGATGCGAACCGTCTCCTGAGTAGCAGGATAGACGCTATGCGTAAGGCTGAGGCACAGGCCGAGGCGAAGCGTGCGGCGTTGCTGATGGAGCGCATCGCGAGCGTCGAGGCCGCCGATGAGCGCGAGGCCGCAATGGCGACCTGTTCCTTTGCGAGACTGCCGGTCGTTTGCTTCGACGCGATGCTCCCCGGCCAGCGGCTCGAGCTGACCACCGAAGACCCGACGCTGTGCGACTTTCTGATGCAGCTCGGGCTGGGAGGCATGTTCTGCATGACGAGCCTCGACCCGCGCGAACGGCGCGTGCGCCGGCACGGCGTCGTCGTGCGCATCGCACTCGTGGACGTCGCCCGCAGCCGCGAGGGTGTGCCGGTAGGCTATGGCGCACCAACGCTCATTCGCACCTCGCTTGTTGGGCGCACGCGGTGCGTGTTGATCGACGAGCGGGCGTCGCAGGCCCTCGGCCGCTGGCGGCGCCAATATGACCCCGAGGGGGACGAGCCCAGGCTTGGGTGGGGCGAGGAGCCGCTGCTGTCCCTGCCCGAGGGGGTTGTGTCGGAGGGCGTTGTGGCGGAGGGCGTTGTGGCGGAGGGGATTGGTGCTACGGCAGTCGCCCAAGGCGCTAGCATCAATGGCGAGGACGAGGGTGCCGCCGACGAGGACGTCGCACCAAGCGACCCGTGGGTGCCCCTGCGCGTGCGGCTGCTACACGGGGAGGCAGAGCTCGTAACCACCGAGCGAATGCCATCAACGGGCGGTGGCAGCAGCAGCAGCAGCGCCGGCGCCGGCGTCGGAGGCCTCGGCTCGTCGGCGGCCGACATGCCGGCCGACGCTGTGGCGCGAGCTGCCGCCGCCAAGGAGCTCGAGCTGGCTGAGCTGGCGGGCGCGGTGCTCTCGGCGCTCGCCGAATGGGAAGCCCTCGCGCGCGACTCGGCCACCTATGCCAACGTCGACGTCGCCTGCGCGGGACTGCGTGTCCAAAATGGTTTCCCGGCGCTTCGTCGCGATCCTGCGGCCCTCCTCGACGGCGTCAAGCTCGACTTGGGCCCACGCCCCGATGCGCGCGCGCAGCCGACGGCGTTTGCGCTCTGGGTCGCGGCGCTGCTCAACCCGCTGCCCGCGCTCGGCGTCGCGCCCGAGCTGCGGGCGAGCGTGCTCATGGCGGTGAGCGCGGAGCAGCGCCTCCTCGTCGTCGAGCGCGGCCTGCGGCGTAGCATCGCCAATCTGCGGGGCGAGCAGCCCTTGTAATCTTGTTCTCTAACACCTCGGACCCTGTACAGTTCCATTGCCCATGTCCATTGCCGTTGGCTCCGCATGAGGCAACATTTCATAATTGACGTCTCAATGTTCGGAAAGTGGTGTACTGTAACGTTCTCATTCGTGTCGTGCTCATTGAAAATCCGGGTTTGACACGTTGCGAGTTGCGTCGAAACGAAATTCCGCAAAAAACCTCGAGATCGCGACGCGAAGACGCCACACCTCATGTACTTCGCATGTGGCGAGGGACGCTTCGAGGATGTCGGCGTCCTTTGCTGGCAGCGCTGTCTGCTCGCAACGCACAGATGGCATCTGTACTGCACGGCACGATGAGCACAGTGGACTTTCGGGCTTGCAAGTAGCTGCCAAGCGCCACCTGTGGAATGCTGCACGCAACGGTGCCGCAGCCGTCTGCATGACTAGGTCAGCATCGCAGGAGCTTCTCGCCATCATGATCGTGGGTGAGATGCGCGACATGCACACGGAGAAGGGATTAAACGCTGTTGAGAACCTTCTCGCAACTCTGGACGGGAACCAATCTGTGACACAGCGCGAGTACGCACTTGCAACATGATGAACACAGTACACACCGACTCCACATGTGCTTTCAGCTGTGATTTGACTCACAGTGATTGCGTCGCCCCCCGTTCCCCGTGCCTCGCAGGCTTTTCGTCCACGTTAGCGTGGGCGACACAAAGCCACACTTCTCGAAAATCCAGGGCGTAGCACCTGAGTACAAATCAGGGCTCAACTGGACCGCATCGACTGAAAAGGCCTCACTGGCCTATGCCGTGCAACGGCTCAAGCCTGCGTGGTGGCTCTCTGAGGACATCCCTCTCAGCGGCCTCAACATGAGCAGCCTTGTGGCCAGCCATGCTCTGGCCGTCGGCATTTGCGACTCAGATTGGGGAGAACTGAACTCGAACGAGGCGGTGTGCTCCACCAGCACACCCGATGGCCAGGCATTGCCAGGGTGCATACAAAGACCTGCGAATATGAGTGGTGGCGCGTATGGCTTATATGGCAAACATGTACAATGTGCCCGCTGCGATGCGCATCGCTACTGGAACCGATATGCACGACTGCTCGGAAGTTTCTACGCGATGGTGCAGCGCGAGGAAACCTGCGCACTCGCTTATTCCTGGATCATGCGTCTCCGCACCGACCTGTGGGCAAATCCAACAAGCTTTCCTTCATGGCCCACGCTCTTGCAGCAGTTCAATGGCACATACGTGTACGGCCCAGGCAGTATAGGCGATTACAGGGACATCAGAGCCTACGTTGGCGGGTTCTGGCCACGACGCCACAGGCAGTATCGTTGGTCACCGATGATGCCGGATGGAGTTCCACAAGATGCCTACGCGCTCGTCCGCCGTTGCGCCGCCGACGCCTTCTTTGCGTTCCCGCTACGCACGTTGCGCTGCGTGCGGCGGAACGACACTGCCGCTGCCTGCGGCAGCGTGCCGGGCTTTCCCGCTGCACACGGGGACCCACTCTTCTTCGGGGAATGCTCCGCGCTCAAAGTTCAACTTTCTGAGTGCATTGGTCGCCAACACGTGATGACCATATTCGCACCCACTTTGCCATCGTTCTGACAGTATTTCGCTGCCGCTCATTTATGCGCTATTACCCCCCAATTATAACAATCCCCGAGGGCATGCAAAATTGCAAATAGTAGTACCAGCAAGATAGTTCAGTGTGAGTCGTGATTATTAATCCTAGAATCATATTGTTGCTGAGGTGAATTTCCCCACCTAGCAATTGCACGCTACCTCGCACCGTCGCGTCACTCCGCTCTTATTACAGGGGGTCCTGTGCCAATGTGTAGGTAGCTTGGTCAGTTACAAATCTGGCGAAACCACAGAGGCGCGTGCGTGAACGTTAACACGACAGACACCACATGTGCGTGTAATTCCTTCACATTCGGATCAGGAGAGTATCAGGAAGGCGACGCACGCGCGGCGCGGCGCTTGGCGCTTTTGCGAGGTGTTCGGTTTCGTGCCGCCGACTGTGCGCGGGAGATCGGGAGGCCAATTCACGTCGCAGCGACGTCATCGATGGAGCCCATCAATATTCTCGCGAATCAGCGCCACGTGGGCTGCCTCGGTGGCGGCCAGCTGGGCCGCATGATGGCACAGGCCGCCTCGCGCCTCGGCGTGATCATGACGACGCTGGATCCGGGCGGCTTGGACTCGCCGATGGGCGCCGTGTGCGGCAAGGCGGTGACGGGCTCGTTCACAGATCCCGTCAAGATCCGCGAGCTCGCCAAGCTGGTCGACGTGGTCACCGTCGAGATCGAGCATGTCGATGCCGTCGTCCTTGCCGAGCTCGAGGCGGAGGGCATCGCGGTGCACCCCTCGGGCAAGACGATCATGCTCATCCAGGACAAGTATGCGCAGAAGATCCACCTGTCAAAGCTGGGCGGCGCGGTGCCGCTCGGCGACTTTTGCGAGATTCCCGACGTGGCCGCGCTGCTGAGCGCGGGCGAGCGCTGGGGCTACCCGATCATGCTGAAGGCGAAAAAGAATGCGTACGACGGGCGCGGCAACCTGCCGGTTGGCTCGGCGGTCGAGGCGGCGAGCGCATTCGCGACGCTCTCCAACAATGGGAAGGAAGAGCTGTACGCGGAGAGGTGGTGCCTCTTCACCAAGGAGCTCGCGGTGATGGTGGCGCGCTCGGCGAGTGGCGTGACGGTGAGCTATCCGGTGGTTGAGATGACAGCGATCGACTCGCAGCTGCACACGGTGCTCGTTCCGGCGAGCATCGACGAGGCGGCGCTCGCTTTGGCGTCGAAGATAGCGTCCGCCGCCATCGCGTCGCTCTCGGGTGGCGGCATCTTCGGCGTCGAGCTCTTCCTGATGCCGGATGGTTCCGCCTTGCTCAACGAGATCGCGCCTCGCCCGCACAACTCAGGCCACTATACCATGGACAGCTGCCACACAGACCAGTTTGAGATGCACTTGCGATGCGTGCTCGACCTTCCCCTGGGCTCGGCCGAGATGAAGGCGCGCGCCCGCCGCCGCACCCTGCCGCGCCCTGTCACCGCCCTGTGCCCGCCGTGTGCCCGCCGCCGCCCGTCTAGCCTCACCTTCCCATCACCTCTCGACCTACCTCGTGCCTCTGTCGCAGGTGCCTGTGGCCGCGATGCTCAACGTGATCGGATCAGCCGACGGCTCGCTCCCCAAGACGCTCGCGTCGGTGCAGCGCGCGCTCACGATGCCCAGCGCCTCAATCCACTGGTATGGCAAGAGCCCTCCGAAAGCGAAACGCAAGATGGGGCACATCAACGTCACGGCCACGAGCTCAGCCGGAGCTCTCGCGATGCTGTCCACCCTCCAAGGGCTCGCGGACCAAACCCAGGCCGCGCCGCTCGTTGGCATCATCATGGGCTCGGACTCGGACCTGCCCACCATGCGCGCAGCCGCCGAGATCCTTGAGCACTTCAAGGTGCCCTTCGAGCTGACGATCGTCTCGGCGCATCGCACACCGAAGCGCATGTTCGAGTATGCCCAAGCTGCGAGTGGACGTGGGCTGCAGTGTATCATCGCCGGCGCTGGCGGCGCTGCGCACCTTCCCGGCATGGTGGCCGCGCTCACGCCGTTGCCTGTGATCGGCGTGCCGGTCAAGTCTTCGGCGCTTTCGGGGAACGACTCTCTCCTCTCGATCGTCCAGATGCCACGGGGCGTGCCTGTGGCCACTGTGGCCATCGGCAACGCCGCCAACGCTGGCCTGCTCGCCGTGCGCATGCTCGGCATGGCCGATCGAAAGCTGCGCGCGGCGATGGCCACCTTCATGGCAGAGGAGGAGGCCACGGTGCTTGCCAAAGCCGCCAAGCTCGAGAAAGAGGGCTACGCCGCGTACGCGGCCCCGCCGTCAGGCATGTGACGGCAGGGCCCCGGGGATTCTGGATTAGCCTGTTTCAAGCCGACGTTAACGCCGAGCTCCCGAGGAATGGGAGTGCGGCGGTGAGGAGACTTGAGAGCGCGCGCGACTTTGAGATCGGGCGGGTGAGATGTATCTATTATGAATGTTGAGGCGAAACGAGCGAATTGTATCGAGCGACGAGCCCGGCGCGCGGCGCGCGGCGGGGCGCGGGGGCCGGGGGCGAATCGGTCGATCCGATCTCGAGACCGCCCGGCGGGTCGGGGTACAAAATATGTAGTTCAGACTTCAGAGAATCAGACCGGTTGATTCGGTTGGAAAGATGTTCATGATCAGCACAATCGCCAGGCTCCGCACACACGTCAACAGGAGACTTGACACTCAGAAACACGTGTTACATAGGTGCGAGCTGCCTTGCAGCAGATGGCATGCTCCTGTATTGTGTGTTAGGACCGGATCACATTCAAACGGCGCGCCCGGCTATGACCGGACAGCACGACATTGCATCCGCTGACCAACACGGCAAGCGGCCCCGTTGTGCTGTCCACAGTGCACGCGCTGAAGTCATGTCCTCGTCCTCCTCCTGCGGCTGCTCCTGCTGCTCCTCTGCCGCTCCTCCTGACGCAGAGCGAATCTTCTCGCTGGACAGATGGGCGTCCATCCGAGCGGCAGGCGTCTACTGATCCCACGGCAGCTCGCGCAGCGCGTCGCTCGAGAAGGCGATGTCCTTCGCCGACCATTGGGATTTATTCGAGGCCAGCGCGCTCTTGCCTCCCGGTAGCGCAGGTACTCGATCTCATACGCACCCGGGCCCTGCGGTCAACGGCACTCGCGACCTATGTGAGACCAAAAGGGAGACCAAAGGGAGACCAAAGGGAGACCAAAGGGAGCGGACGCAGCAGGAATGGGGGCTGCAGCAGCAGGTTGCAGCGCGCGCGGCTCAAGATCAGCATGCAAGGGCGCGGAGCTGTGCTTGCGGGGCGCGTGCACACCGGCTCCGTCGCCTGCGCCCGCTCAAATGTATCCGCCTTTCCAAAGCGCGAGGCTTTGGCCTTCATAGAGTTGGCGGGGTTGGACGGCTTCTTCTCGATCGCGGTGAAGGAGGGCGAGTAGGCGCCCGCGCCGGGCACCTTGTTGTCCTCGGACTTTTCGCGCTGAGCAGATTTAGACTTGAACGCCGACGAGGGCATCTTCTCGCCTGTGTCCATGGCGGACAGGTTCGCCTTCATGCCGTTTTTCATCATCACATCACCATTGTACGCGCCCGGCCCGGGTGTGCTCTCACCCATGATGTCAATCGCCAGCTTACGCTGGTGTTTCGTGCCGAAGCTGCCCTGGCCCGCCTTCATGGCTTTGCTCGCCGACTTCTTCGAAGTGACTGCAAGCTCCTTGAGCACGTACGGGTCATATGAGCCCCGGGTCACCGGCCGCATCCATTTTCTCCTTGCCGATGCGAATCGTCTTGCTCGGCGAACGAGGCAGATCCGGCTCCGCTTCCCTTCTTGCTGCTGCTGACGCTCGATTCCTTGGCCCGGCGTGTACGATCCCGGTCCCGGCGTGAGCGCCCTCCTGGCCTCGAACTGACGCTTCTTGTCGGCGTGCTCCTGCTGGCGCATCGCGGGAGTCTTGGCACCGGGGCCCGTGGCTATCGGCGCATCGGTGCCGCCCGTGGCGCTCCCCTTGCTGCCCGACGCGCCGGGCATGGCGGCTGGCAGCCCGTGCGTGCGCGCACTGCACAATTGCGTTTTTGGGGTCCGATGTTTTGTGGTTTCGGAAATTTGCAGGAATACTTGATGATCGGTGTGTTCCGACGAAACTGCACCAATTATGGCCAGACTGCTACCATGGTACATGTACTGGCACCGCTCTCGCAAGCCATAGAAGAGGTTGTCAGCCTCTTCGCGAGTGTAAAGACTTGTAAAGACCCAGCTCAATATGCTGCGGAAAAGTCATTTTCTCGCCCCCGACCTCAGCGTGAGAGATGACAGATGTTCTCTGATCCTGTAGAGACATTTCTTACCATGTGAGGCGAGGGAGGAAGCACACATCTGCCTCATCGTCCGAGCTGGATAACTCTAATGTGGCCGAGTAAAGGCTGCTCCTCGTTGCCCCGAGATGGGCGGCGGCGAGCTCTGCTCCAAACGCACTCTCACCTACCTTGAGGGCACCAGCCTGCTAGAGGGGGTGCTGGATCCCTATCTCGGAGGAGGTCAAGGCTCGCGCAACGCGCTCAAGTTCCTGGCGGCGGTGCTGGGCCTCGACTGATCCGTGGTCGACTAGCGCACAGGGGGATTGGGGTTTTTTTCAATACAAGAAAAGGCTATTTTCAATACAAGATATCATTATATATCATTACATATCACGTTGCTATCAT